AAAACCAGTTTGAACTGTTTTGCAGGAATTTAAACTATTTCTTGTTAATCCACACACACAACTAAGAAGTGAGAGCAGAGGTTTTTTTAATATACTATTTATATCAGCATATGTCCTAAAGAAGTTTTTGATATTTTCGTATTTATAGTAAATCATAGCAGCGTGTAGCGTGCAGAAAGAGAAATCAGGGAAGGGGGGAAGTAAACTCTATTAATCTTTCTAAGAGAAAACATGTCATATGCAATATCCTCGCATTGCATCACCATCTGTTTTTTTTTTTTTTCTGAAGCTGTTGGAAACGATCCAGCAGATGCTAGGGCTGCAGGAGCTGGGGGCTAGAACCTGCTCCCTGAAGCACGGTTAGATGTCTTCTGCTGCTTGCTGGGCCACAGCTGTGGTTTTACACCACAAAAACTCATCTATTGCAAATATTTTCTTCGGCATAAGTGGGGAGCTTGCATCTGAACTGGCTCACTGCTAAAACCCGTGGCCGTAGTGCTTCTGCTGGAAGAAGTGACCTGGCGTTGCTGGGTGGGTCTGTGGGCAGGAGGCTTTCCAGGGCGGCTCTTGTGCTTGGGGTGGGTGTTTTGCTTTCATTGAGAGCTGTCTTTTCTTCCTTGTACCTTTCCCTTGAAGTTTACCTCTTGTGCTGGTTTTATATTCCCTCCTTTTCTGTGATCATTCCCTTTTATTTTCCCAACAGATGTGGAAAATAAGCTTTTGGAGAGGTCTAGGTCTTGAGCGCCGTTCAAAGCCAAGGTCTTTGGAAGCCCGGCGTGCGGTGTTGCTGCTCAAACACCTTTTTGGGGAAATCCTGTCCTGTCGGGAAGAACTCAGCCAGCAGATGATGGAGCTGGCCTGAGTTATTGCAGCAGGAGGTGGCGGGCTTTTCCTACAGGAAATCCAATGAAAGAGATTATAAATTTTCGAAGTAGATCAGGTAGCTGGCTTAAACGTTTCAAGTCAGGCTGGCAGCCTGCTTTGTAGCGTAGTAGCTCTGGCTTTAGTAGTTAGGTGAAAAATAACCTCCTCACTTTCCAAAGGGACTGAGGAACTTTGGAGAGTTTTAAGCCGTGACCCGTGATGCTGGGGGGCTTGTCCTGAGGCAGAAGACCCGCTCCAAACCTGTGCTGCTCCTTCTGCAGGTTAGAAGAAGCCTTCTCCTTCCCAGCCTAAGGGTCTTTGAGAGCAATTTGCACACATGAGGACATGCCAGTGCTGTCCTTTCAGCGCCAGTGGGTCTTCTCCTTCTGTGCCCATCACCAGTGGTGGCCTTATCCCTTCCCCAGCATCGATGGCCAACCAGATGAGCTCTGCTTGACCACCGCTCCACCTTCCCGAGAGCCCTCCTGGGAAACTGTTCTCATTTACATTCATCTCTCCGTATGCAGATGATGAGGATTGACTGCATTTCTCCCAGGTTTGTCACCCCCACCTACCGAGTGCCATCAGCATTGCCCCGGCTCTGCCGGAGGTATTTCCAGGGATCTGTTGGAGGATTGCACTTCTGCCTTTCCTGGCTGCCGTGTCCTCCGCAGCTCCGTCCGGGGAGCTCTGCCATCCAGCAGAACAGTTTATTATTCCCCACGTAGATGTAATTTATACGACTATGCATTTTGTATGACTGAATCTCATTCCAGGCTTATTACCGTATCCTTCAAAGCCGTCCAGCCTGTCCTCTCTGATATCCTGCTCCTCTTCTGTATTCACAGTTCTTGTCAGCTTTCCTTCCTCTGCAAAGCAAAGCTGGAGTGAAGGGTTGAACAGAGCTGACAGCTCCTTCAAGGAGGGATTAGAGTGTAAGCATAGACGTGATTTCAGATGAAAGACAGGAAATGTAGAAGGGGATGGACATCCCCCAGTCTGGGGTCTGGTTTGGCCCCAAACACGAGCAGACGGCACACGGAAAGGAGGTGGGAGGTAGGTGGGATTGGTGGGAAGGAGTATACAAGTTGAACACAGCTCGTCTGGAGAAAAGAGCTGTGCTGGGGCAGCCATGGCATTTAACACCAGCAGTCCCAGCCACGAGCTTGGCCTCTAGCACGTTCCTAAGAGATTTTTTTATGGAATTCATGAGGAACAGAGGTGATGTCAGAAAAGTGCAGAAAAACAAACTCGAGGTTTGTTTTCAGAAAGAAGGGAAAAGATGTGCTGGGGAACAGCTGACCGGTTGGGTTGCTCTCGGATCCCACTGGTGCTGGAATAAATCCTCGAATGCGCCACGGTGAAGCCCCTGGAAGCAGAGACAAGAGCAGTAATAGCCACCGTTGATCAGTGGAGAGTTCCTCCATTCAAACCCATTGCCTTCTACGAGAAGATGGCAATCTTGTGGACTCTGGAGCAGCAGCAGGTATCCTGTAACATGGGTTTTTGTAAGGTTATTGATACTGTAGAGGAACATCATGCCTATGCCTATGGTCTGCATCTTGGAGCAAAAACAAAGTGTCTTCTCATAGACCTTCCTTGGAATCAAGTATCTAATGCCCTCCATGAAACTATGCTAAATAAACGTGGTGGTGTAAATGGCGTTGAGACCGGGAGGAGTGAGATGGCGAGGTGGGATTGACGGTGTTGGAGAGGACTCTAGGAAAGACTTAACACTTGCCTGACTTGTAGGTGTTTATCCTGCTCCATCCATTGACAGATAACCAGTGGGTCATATGCATTCAAGTGCTGCAGCGTCTAATGGGCTTTGTTGCTGCAGTATTGGGGTGTGGCCTTAGAAAAGCACGGCAGAACAGATTTATTTATTCTGCACGTTAGTGTTGGGACAGCATATAGCAAGTAGAGTTTCCAAGCCTTGTGCCTCAGCGCCCTTCTGACACTTCGGTGGCACTCTGCTGCTCAAACTCAGTAAGAGACTTTCTTACCATTTTCGACTAAATTGAGAAAGAACCGCTGAGGTTACCGTCTTCTGGTGTATGGGCTGAACCTTATGGCTCCCTGCTAGAATTAAATAATCCATCACCTCCTATTGGGAGATGAACAGATGCAAAGCCCAGAGACTCAGAAGCTCCCAAGGCTAATAATATTGGGTTTTTTTCATGTCAGAAGTATTTTTGTGTTTGTCGAAAGATTCACTTGCACAGCCGTAACATCTCTCTCTGCCGTGCCTGGAACAGATGCGTGTGTTGTAATATAGACTGCGAACATTGACATCACATGTGGTTCTCATTCCGCCCATTCATCTTTGAAGCTAATTGGTTCCATCCATTTCAAATGTGTTTGGCTCGCCGCAGCTATTTGTACTTTCACTCTGGTTATAGCGCTAATGGTGTGATATATATAACATGAAATAAACTCTCGTGACTCCAAGGTCTGAAGAGACACATACGCACCACTCGCATTTTGCTTGCAGTGTTGGGTTGGGTTTGGGTTTTTTTTTTTGGTGGGGTTTTTTGGGGTTTTTTTTTGGAAATGATGTCCCCCAGACAATTTTTTTTCTCTTCACTGAAAATGTTATTAACTAGCTGGCGGCTGAGATGAGGGCTGATGGAGATCGCTGGCGTGATCGTGGCTTGTTCTGTATCATGGGAGCTCAGAATATGCAAAATATGCTATTTAAATAGAAATATATATAAAGAAATATGAATATATCTAAAATATGTTATACCTGTTGGTGTTTGCCAACCATTAAAGGTTTTGCACTTCACCTGCTGGTGGTGGACCTGCTGGTTGGCTTCAGTGTTGCTCCCAAGCAAGACACTGGGACTAGCATTGTTAGAAACCTCCGTGTTGTCCTCTCTACATGTTTTAATATTCTGAATATATAGATTATTAAAAATGCTAGATTATCAGAAATGTTAGGTTAAGTACTGCCATCATTTTTCCATAACCCAAGAGCATAATGTAGAGAAATTAATATTGCTGTTGGAAAGGCATCAGTGAGGTCACTGGGTGTTTCTCTGGGTCCTTCTCTCACCTTTCCATCTTTCCATGGGAGCCTGGCATGTCTGTACTAGCTGGTAATTTGTCTTTCCCTGCAGACTCCAAGCAACCTGTTACCTTCCATTCATGACGAGGGTATCTCAGTTAAAGGTGATTTCAGTCTTCGATGTGTATTTCAACCCAGCTTTTAGAGGGGTTTCTCTGATGAACGGCAAGGGAATATTTGGGGGTTTTTGCAGCTCATTCCCATCCTTGAGAATTTTTTGAGGAAGCAATGGAATATGTTTCACACTTCAGCTTCTGCTCAAAAAGTCGTGTAGTTTCTCAGCTTCGCTATAAATATTTTCACATCTTGCTAGGGAGCCTTGGACTCCCATTGTTTAAGCAGCTCATACTCATTCTTTGCTTTGGGGTTTGTTTTGGGGGTTTCTTTGGTTTTTTAGTATTTCATTATTAAACAACTTGGCTCAAAAGTATTTGGGTTCCTGCTCTCAGCTGAGAGCTGAGTGATGCTGACTGTCTCCTAACCTGTCCTCAGCGGGAACTAAAGCACATCAACTTTAAATGTTAAGCTTGGCAATTTCAAGCTAATTGAGAAAATTCATGTACGGCGGCATGTGCCGCGAAAGCATCGGTTGAAAAATAATCTGCTGTGTAGGGATTGTGGTTTTAAATGGTTTCTGTTGAGTCTGGGGATTTCTGCTGTCTGAAGGTTTGACGTGCTGTCCTTTCGTCGGCAGCTTGGGTGGCTGCGTGTGGCAGGACTCTGAGCGGTGTTCAGCAGAGCTGGCGCTGAGCTGGGACCTGAGACTAGAGCTCTGGCTCAAGGGAGAAGCATCTGGCACCGGAGCTTTGCCCTTGGCCATGAGCAGATGGTTCAACTCATCTTTGCAGTAAGGGGGAGAGGTGCCCACCAAAGCTGTGTTCCACCAGCCACGGGTTGCTGGTTCAGGAGAGGGGAAGGCAGAGCTGGGTCCCGGTAAATTCGTTACACCTTCGGCTTGCTCCAGCCCTGCAGAGACACCCTCTGGGTTGGTGGGTGTTGATGGCAGCGGGGATTTTCCAAGATGAAATGATCACTGAATTTCACTAGTTTTTCTTTTTCTTTGTAGGTCCAAGTTCAGTTAAAAACAAGAAAAAGGGTAAGTCTGACTTTTCATTTAATTTTCCTTTCTGTGCCTGTGGTACCCGGCTGTGAATTCTCTTTAGCCAACGTGAAGGAGAAAGCACGGGCAGGTTCCCTCTGCAGGGAGGGCAGGGCTGGATGTGGGGTCAGCTTCAGCTTTCATCCTGGTCCTGCCCTGCATCTTGCTGCAGGCTGGGGGCTCCTGCAGACCCACCAGCACGGATTCACTCAGCATCTCACTTCTGGTTATGTATCAACCTCCAAAATATGACTTTATGTGTCCATCCTGAGTGTTGGTCATCCTACAGGCATTGTGTCTGACTTTCTTCTGTCCCTCCAGCTGTTTGCAATGGGCAATTGGGTATTTTTTAAAATGCAAGTTTTAAAATGCGAGTTGCTTGCATTCTTCTTTCTTTTTTTTTTTTTTTTTTTTAATTTTTAAAAAGCAAGTTGCTTAT